TTTTCACTTTTGAAGCATATCCTTCACCACCAAAATAAATGGAAAAAAAATTAAGCATGACTATCTTATTTCTGAGGATGCAGTTAGATTTTAAGAAATACAGGCTGTGGCCAGCTCTCCTCTTTGGGAAGAACAAGTGCAGGATAATATAACTTGTACTTCATGGGTCTTATTTACAAAATTTTCCCATGTTCCTTCAACTCTGCAACCAAGCCTACAAAGACACTTCTACAAATGCTGTCAAAAAATGCAGGTCATTTGGAGAGAATTTATGAAAAAAAAAATCTTATTACCTCCCAAGTAAAATCAGAGAGGAAAATACAAAACGGATAAAAACAGACCCACATAATTGGTGATTAGTAGGAATGAAGTACATGAAAATCTGCAATGTCAGGTGCTTCAGCTTTGGTTTTCAGTTGGAAGATTAAGGCACTATTGTGTCAGGAGGAGAAATTGGGAACCGCTCAAAGAGAGCACAAAGGCAGCAAACCTTAAGTTATCCCAGAGGTATCACAAAATTACAAAACCCAGGATTCTGTGGGGCACAGGGGAAGCATGGGCATATACTCATGAGGGAAGGAAAAGCTGTCTGTCATTAAAAAATCAGAGGCTATAGCAGCAAAGGGGACACTGGACACACAAAAGGAAACACAGAGCTTTTCCAAAGCATCCCAAGAGATAGACTGTAAGAGGAAAGTCAAGCTCCAGAACCTAGAGATTTGGTCATTTACTAGGGTCTGACACATGGACTTGGTGACACAGGGCTCCCTAAATTGTCAAACCTCCTTTGTCATGCTGACCAGCAGCTTTCACTCGAGAATGTAGAGCTGCCATGTGACCTCTGACAATAAAGATACAGATTAAAGTGGTATCAAAAAGGCTGAAAGGAAGGGAGAGAGCCCAGAGGAAACAGAAAATACCCAAACAGTAAATAGAGGAGATGGGGGGAAAAAGGAAAATAGCCGAGCTTCAGGTTTTCAACCTGAGGGGAAAAGAAGAGCAGTGTCTCAAGGGCATGGAAAAGCCCCAAATGAGAGAGGACATGGAAGAGAGGGGAATATATTTAGTTTGGGCAATGGTAAGAAATAAGGATGGTGGGCCCTGGAGGTAGCTGGAAGTAAAAGACAAAGTTGATGGAGAACTTGGGACAAGAGCTTTGAGATGTGCCAGAAGAGACTAATCACAGGAAAGGATAAGATATCCCAGGGACAAACCCAGAGAAAATGGGGCAATGGGCTGTGTTCCCATAAGGGACCTAAGGACAGAGATACACCAGCCAAAGAGATAATGAAATCACACCTGCAGTTGGGAGACAATCACTAGAGTGTACTATTCCCAGAGACCAAAGGAGAGAGCAGCTTTTGAGAAAGAAGGGATGATATTAAGGTCAAATACCCCAGGGAGATTAGTAAGAATAACGTCTTAAAAAAAAAAAAAAAGTAGAGGGGCACCGGGGTGGCTCAGTCAGTTAAGCGTCGGCCTTCAGCTCAGGTCATGATCCCAGGGTCCTGGGATCGAGTCCCACATCGGGCTCCCTGCTCGTGGGGAGCCTGCTTCTCCCTCTCCTCCCCGCTTGTGCTCTCTCTAGCTGTCTCTCCTCTCTCTCTCTCTAAGTAAATAAATAAAATCTTTAAAAAAATAAAGAATAAAATAGATTTTTTAAAAAAGGTACAGAATTTGACGGGAACTGGGAAGATCAATGAGAAAAGGTATATTTTCACCAACCTTATGTTATTCAAAATGTTTTACCAACCTGTTATTCAAAAATTTTTACACCAAAATGAAGTTGATATCAAAGGTACAACGAAATATCTCAACTGAATCATCCCTCTGGGTGGCAAGTAGGCAAAACTCAATCCAAAAAGGACCCCTTGTAGGAAACAGCACACAGTCTTCCTTCCTCTACCTCTGGGAATATTGACTGTTGATAACATTCTCATTAAGACAACTTTCAAGTAACTTTGTGGACCCTAAACATATTAGATACTGTTTACAGTTACTAAACATGTTCATGTAACCCAATGAGGGATGAAAAGGCAATGCATTCCCCTCGATCTTATTGTTTAGGATCTGGTACACAGGCTTTATAGAACAGAAAGACAAATCCCCTAACAATTTACTAGGAGACAGAATTTTTTTTTAACTTCATCAAATTCCTAGCCATTTTTTCCTTTTTATCGGCTTTACTGAACTAGAATTTATAAACAATAAAACTCATCTTTACGTGTATTAATTCAGTAAGTTTTGGCAAATGTATACAGGTGCAGAACCACCATTACAGCCAAGATGTAGAACATTTCTATCACCCTAAAATGTTATGCCCCGGGATAGTCTATCCCCCCCTGAACCCTGATCTCTGACACCAATTAGGTATGCTCTATGTCACTATGGTCACTATGGTTTTGCCTTTTCCAGAATTTCATATGAACAGAATCATACACTATGTAGCTTTTTAAAAAACTGTGGTAATATATACATACCAAGAAATTTGCCATTTAACCATTTTTAACTGTACAGTTCAGTAGTGTCAAAGACATTCACATTTTCATTATATAGCTTTTGTGTTTGGTTTCTTCAACCTACTACCGTATTTTCATATTCATTCCCATTATCATCAGCAGTCTGTTGCTCTTTAATTGCTGAGTAGTATTCCATTATTTGGATATGCCACAATTTGTTTATCCAATCACCAGCTGATGGCCATTTGGGCTGTTTCCGGTTTGGAGCTATTGTGAATAATGTTGCTCTGAACATTCGAGCACTAGTCTTTGCATGGACATTTGCTTTCACTGCTTCTCAGTATGTACCTAGAAATGGAGATGCTGGGTCATGTGGTATGTTTTAATTCTGTAAGAAACACTAGCAATTCCCTTGATTTCTCAATTCAAAGAAAACATACAGTCCATGGACGATCAGCCAGAAGTCCCTGCCCGCTATATTACACCACATCTCTTCAAGGTGTGAGGCTAAATTTCATACTTACGGTATTGTGAGGGTGAATACTGGCAGAAAGAGCAATTCAACCTCATGAAAAGCTAAATGGCAATGCATCCAAATCCCCTCCTAACTGACCCAGTACATGCTGGGTGCCCAATAAACAGGAGCTATTACCAGAGCTACTGTAGTTCTATTTCTTGAGAACAGTATACTTCATTAATGCTCAGAGGATTCTGATGATGAAAACTCTAGAAAGTTGTAGTACAACAGTTTAGTGTATCTGAATTGAGAAGGTAAGTTCAAGAGACACTAACGTTTGCTAAGTACCCGTGTGGTAGGCTGAATACAGCCCCATAAAAATATCTGCATCCTAATGCCCAGGCCCTGTGAATATGTTACCTTACATGGCAAATGGGACTTTGCGGATGGGATTAAGCTAAGCATTCTGAGATTAGGGAGATTATCCTGGATTACTGGGTAGGCCCAATGTAATCACAGAAGTCCTTATAAGAAGGTGGCTGTGATGCACAAATTGTGAATATACTAAAACCACTGAACTGTATGCTTAAAAAAGGTTAAAATGGTGAATTTCATGTATATGAATTTTACCTCAATAAAAACAATTTATAAAAAGAGGAAAGCAGGAGAGTCTGAGTTAGAGAAGACATGAGGACAAAAGCAGAGGTCAGAGAGAAAGAGACATTTGAAAATGCTACACTGCTGGCTTTGAACATGGAGAGAGGACTATGAGCCAAGGAATACAGGCAGCCTCCAGAAGCTGGAAAGGGCAAGGAAACAGACTGTCCCCTAAACCTTCCAGAAAGAACACAGCCCTGCTGACACCCTAATTTTAGGACTTCTGACCTCCAGAAATGTCAGATAAAAAAAAAAAATCTATGTGATTTAAGCCAATAAGCTTATGGTCATGTCATAGCCATAATCAGAAACTAATACAACCCACTACGTGCCAAACACTGTTAACATGCTTTGCCTGTGTGGTTCCACTGACTCTTTGTTGGGTCCCCTCATTCCTCCAAAAACAGAGTCCCGGTCAAAAATCAGATAAATCTGTTAAACTGAAGGTGCATATGCACGTCTCTTTAAAAAAAAAAAAAAGAAGAAGAAAAAGGAAGAAGAAGAAAGCTCAAACTGAGGGCAGAGGCCGGGGAGGGTGGTGCTGAGCTATTTACAGTTAAAAGGCAAGAAAACTCTTTCTGGACACTGTTGAATCTGCGTACTAGATCGATCTGATGCATTAACTCCCAGTCAAGACACCCAACTCACTAAAGGTTAAAATGTTGGATAAAGATGTATTTTTGGTATCCAGATTCCTATCAAATATTACTAAGATATTCACCTGCAGACCAAACACGTACTTAATGGTCCTCAAAGCCAAGACACCACCTACAGAAGTCTGAGCAGCCGCATGACACCTGCATCTGGTTCTGGCCAGGGCCATTTTTCATAGTGGCTATTCTAGCTGCCCACTTCCAAAGGGGACTGGGGCAGAGTATACCCCTCCTGGGACAAAATGGGGTCCTATTCACCCTATTAGAGTGAAATGTTCTGGAAAATAGAGGTAGAACATGAGGATGGGAAAGAGGAGCAATGAGAGATGTGACAAGGCACACACAGTACCCACAGTGTGTGCATCCATGCCTTGCCGGCACAACTCTGTGGAGAGTTCTATGAACCACTGCAGCACCAAATGAGTGAGTCAGGTGCCTGGATTGGGAGTCAGTACACCAGATTGATCTAGTACAGATCCAACAATTTTGTTATTGCCTTTTTACTTGGAAGAACTCAGGCCCTTATTTTGAGCCTTTTTTTTCCTTCATTTTTTAAAAAACTGAACTACACTCCCAGTTTAAAAGATTCTCTTGATATCTGACCAGAGGTCTCTTTTCTGGATGAATGAGGGGACCCAAGAGGAAATCGATGAAATAATATATGCAAAGCGTGTAACTCAGTGCTTGGCGCACAGCGGGTACTCAGCAAATGTCAGGTAGAGGATGAATGAAAGAAGGGACAGAACTGGAGGTCATGAGCCCAGAAGTTACGAGACTCCGAGAGGTAATGAATGGAACGAAAGGAGTGGCGGTGAGGAAGGCAACAGTCAAGGATGAGGGAATACATGAGAAATGTTAATGAAGGCGAACAGGATGTGGATTGGGCAGCAAGAATACAGAAATTCACAAGACCTGAAAGACCTGAAAGAGCTCTGGTCTGTCACCAACTGCTCTGGAATCCCAGTTCTGTCACTGATTAGCGGCATGATCTTCAAAACTGTAAAACCTCTCTGAGCTTCGCTTTCCTTCATTGTAAAACAGAGATAACAGAGACAAGCATTCACTTCCTAATGTTATTATGAAGATTAATAATGCAACTAAAGTGATAAGCTTAGTGACTGGTGCACAGTTAGCACGCAATTAAGTTGGTGCTATTAGAGAATTGTGTCATTACTACCAATTAGCATTTTAGTAAGGCTAAAGATAATGCACATAGTAACTTTCTTTTTTCTCCTTGCAGTTTTTGAAAGTATACCAATTTTTGCTGTGTCCTAAAGAGATATGGGGTATGGCAAAGCTGGGAATAGAAGCAGCATACCACAAAGTCTTAGATTAATGATTTTAAATTGTAAGGTACTGATGAAGCTACATAAGCAAAAACCCAAAATACAGTGTATATAATCACTCATCTCTCAGGTTCTTTGGAACCTAAAATTCAGAGACTGCTAGGAATTGTTCATTCTCATAATCAAATCAAATACAACTTTATCTGGCACATAATTAATGGCATGCACAATACAGTTTGAATGAGTTACCAGAAATCACTAGTTTAATCAATGCAAAGAGTATTCCTTATAATCATCATTCACTCATCGATATCAACCCATTAATTAACACTTTTGGATACTCAAATTCAGTGAGCATTGTCCTATCTTGTCATCAAAGAAAGACACTATGATAAACTTCATCAAAATAAAATTAAAAAAAAAATCTGCAAAAATCACAAAAGCTCTGACTTGCGGCATTTTCTAAGGGTGGTTACATATGACTTGTGCTGCATGAACGCATGGTGCCATTGGAAGTTACCCTTCCCTTTATAACTGTTCACAACCATATGATCAAGCATCTACTATAGAAATTCATGGAAAGCCTGCATCAAGCTCATCAGGTTAATATGCACGTAACATTTAGTTTTCCTCTACTGTCTACTTCAGTCCTCTCTCTTGAATAGGGTGTTTGCCTGTGCCCAGTCTTCTGGGACCTCTTTTTTCAGTGATTCTTCAAAGATCATTGACATTGTTCTCCAACTACATCTCCAGGCTTTCCCAACTCTCAGCAGTTTAAGAGAATCAAATTCAGAAGACGCTGGATGCCCTTTCCCTCTTTTGGTAGCTCAGTCAAGCTGGTGCAACAAGTCTGATTTAGCTCAAGGGAGGAGACTGATACCAGCCACAGAGCTGGAAGCTCCCCCTTTCTAAGAAGGCCACAGCCTCATTCAGAAACCTTCCACTGTTAGATAGTCCTATAGATGTTCCCTTGCCCCATGCTATATGCAGACCCATAAAGGGCAGGGTTTCTCAACTGGAAGGTGGGCTCCAGCGCATCCAATTCAGTCAGGCCCCACCTAAGCACACCTCTCTGTGAATAAAAATTCCAAGTTCATTCACAAGCAGTTATTGTCTAAGTTTTCCCCTAATAAAAACTATTGTGGATTTATACTATATGGCACTAAAGGTGTGTGTCCATGCGTCGTTTACACAACTACATGGTTGATCCTTAAACAACATGGGTTTGAACTATGTGGATCCACTTATATGGGGATATTTTTCAATCTGGTATATATCTTCTCTTCCTTATGATTTCTTAGTAACATTTTCTTTTCTCTGGGTTACTATACTGTAAGAATACAGTATAAAACAAGTATGTGTTAACTGACTGTTTATGTTATCAGTAAGGCTTCTGATCAACAGGAAGTTATAGTAGTTAAGTTTCTGGGGAGTCAAAAGTCATACACAAATTTTTGGCAGTGCAGGGAGTTGATATCCCCTAACCCCCACATTGTTCAGGGGTGAACTATATATCTAACTCCTCTGCATCAGGGACTTGAACTAGTTTCAGATGCCTGGTTAAGGGCAACTGGGTGGCTCAGTCGGTTGAGTGTCTTGTCTCTTTGATGTTGGCTCAGGTCATGATCTTGGGGTCGTGGGCTTGAGCCCTGCATAGGGCTTCCCACTCAGCATGGAATCTGCTTGTCCCTCTCCCTCTGCTCCTCCCCTGGTTCACGTTTTCTCTTCTCTCAAATAAATAAATCTTAAAAAAAAAAAATGCCTGGGGACACCTAGGTGGCTCAGTCAGTTAAGTGTCTGTCTTCGGCTCAGGTCACAATCCCTGGGTCTTGGGATCTAGCCCAATGTAGGGCTCCCTGCTCAGCGGGGAATCTGCTTCTCCCTCTGCCCCTCCCCCTACTCATGCTCTCTCTAATAAACAAATTTTTTTTTTTTAAATCTTAAAAAAAAAAAAAAGCCTGGTCAGATTAGGATTTAATTCTTAACCAGCTCGCTCCTCACCCTTTACAAACTAAACTCTAAGATGAAACTTAACTCTTCTACAAGCTAGCTAATACTTCCCTTCAGCTCTCAGCCCTCTCTCATTTCTGACCAAAAGGGTGTTCTTGTGGGGAGAGATGGCGAGGAAGCTTAAAAAAAAAAAAAGAAGAAGAAGAAGAAAGGGGTGTTGTTACTTTTCTAAACAAGTGAGAGAAAACTGGCCAGACAACGCAGGATTTGATCAGATGACCTGGATTAATGGAATGAGACTGAAGGAAGGAGGGGGCCAGAGAGAATGATAAGCCACAGTCAAGAAGCTCTATGCCCGGGTGCCTGGGTGGCTCAGATGGTTAAGCGTCTGCCTTCGGCTCAGGTCATGATCCCAGAGTCCTGGGATGGAGTCCCGCATCAGGCTCCCTGCTCTGCGGGGAGCCTGCTTCTCCCTCTGCCTCTCTCTCTCTCTCTCTCTCTCTCTCTGACTCTCATAAAAAAAAAAAAAAAATATAAAAAAAAAAAAAAAAGAAGAAGCTCTATGCCCTCAGAGGACACCAGGCTCTAGACCATAGACAAGTAGAGTACGTGTCTAAGGAAGAAGAAAGAAAAGAGTCCAAAATCAAATTCTGCCTACTCCCAACACTTCCTTACACTGGTTCTGCCCTCTTTTCTTTCTAAAGGTCAAATAGGAAGACTTACCAGATTACTGTTTCCTCAGGAAAGAGCCACGAGCATGACCTTACCAGTGTTCTACCCTCACTACAATATACCGCTCCTCCAGGGAAGGCTAAGTAGTAGACAGGGCAGGCCAGCTTCCAGAAACACAGCAGATAAAATTACCAATCGGGGAAAAGTATCCCCCAGCTCTCTTCATTACCACCTAACCTCTCTTGAAAAGTTACATCTCGGGGCCCCTGGGTGGCTCAGTTGGTTAAGTGTCTGCCTTCGGCTCAGGTCATGATCTCAGGGTCCTGGGATTGAGGCCCACATCGGGCTCTCTGCTCAGCAGGAAGCCTGCTTCTCCCTCCCACTCCCCCTGCTTGTGTTCCCTCTCTCACTCTCTCTCTCTCAATTAAATAAATAAATAAAATCTTTAAAAAAAAAAAAGAAAGAAAAGTTACATCTCCTTCGTTTCCTGGTTCATCTGCCCCAGAGACCCAGCTCCATGGTGAAGTGTACAGAAACCTGGTTGACACTGGATTTCCCCGTTACAGAAGGGAATGACCAGGCTGCACAAGCAGGCCTAGTGTGCTGCTGAGAAGCACAGAGAGAGACCGCTTCTGTAGAAGGCTTCCATCCGCAACAGAAAAAACAGTGAGTCACTGTCACACACAGAAGCATACAATAGTGACATCACATTCAATCAACTGGAATTCTTGGCAGTAGAAATATTAATTCAATATTTTTATACATTAATACATGGTTTTGTTTTGTTTTGTTTTAAAGATTATTTACTTATTTGACAGAGAGAGAGAGACCACAAGCAGAGGGAACAGCAGAGGGAGAGGGAGAAGCAGGTTTCCCGCCAAGCAGGGAGTCCGATGCGGGGCTTGATCACAGGACCCTGGGATCATGACCTGAGCCAAAGGCACCCACTTAACCGACTGAGCCACCCAGGCACCCCAATACATGGTTTTGTGTCTTTTCACAGTGCCCACTGATCACAGATGCTTACTCTAATGCTAACTAAAAAATTAACAAGGGGTTGTTTGAATCATTTGGGCAAATAGCAAACATTTGTATCTCAACACTAATTCAATTATAAGGCTATTAAAATTAATTTAACAATTTTTAAAGCATCACAATGGGAAACTAAATACAAGACAAAGTTTCTTAAGTCATTTCCTTGGAAACTTGACATAAAGGTTTAAGATTATTAGACCGATCTATAATCAAGTAGTTTAAAAAGGCATTATTTTTACTGAGTGGGTTATTACTTAAGAACTTCAGTTAATTTGATCTTCCCAAATATGAGTAAGAGATTCTGTCTCTCTATTCCAGTGTTAGGAGAGTTACCTCTTCAAATAAATGAAAATACATTTTCTTACAGCTTTAAACTCTTCCTTATATGTTTTAATTTAAACAAATGTTTATAACCTTAAATTCATGAGAATTTCTTTCCAACCAATATTTAATTTGTTCAAAGTCAAAAATAGAAATACTGATTTACTGAATAATCGACACAGTTGGTTTTTTTTAACCCAAATACTTTTAATTTTCCAGAGGTGGGGGGTAGAGGTGAGAAGCACATTCACTTTCCAAAAAACAAAAAGAAAAAGAAAAAATAAATCTCACAGTACATACATTCTCCCATCCAATTCGTAAGTAGGACTCCCACCCACCGGCACTGAAAAGCTGTAATCCCACAAGCAAGAGCCATACCCGTGTGCATGCACTCATGTGAAAATATCACACACACTAAATTGCACGGAGGCCGTGACAACATGCAACTTAGTAATGTGCAATATCTCCACCAGAGCAAGCAGAATGGGAGCATCGGGGGAGAAGGGTGTGATGCAAACATTCAGGACACAACATGCTCTACAGGGACGACAATGGTTTGGGGAAAAGAGATGCATGCCACTAACTCAAAAATTCATGAAATGAAAATCCAAATGAATACACGAACATATTCAATTTAGAAAAAACACTTACTTACTCAGAACTGAGGATCATAACTAAGGTTCAAAAATTCAACAAGATGGTGATCATAAAGTAGCTACATATTTCGGAAGGAAAAGCTTCAAGAGCCTAGACACTTTGGCTGCCTGGCCATGCAGTTAACTCTCAATTTCAATTCCACCTTCAACTTACTGATGGATCATACATATAAAACGAGTTGAATAATTTTCACTTGACCATAACAGTGATGACAACTAATGGTTGATGTTTATGAAGTCTGATTTCATTGATGATTTGCAGACCAAATTGCACTCTCAGGACTTTATAACATTTTCATATTCACTTATATTAATATTTTTCCTCTTAAAAATCTTTGTTCATGAAGAAACATATTCCATCTTGAACACAATCCTTCAGAATGAAAACTCTGACAAGAGCTCTGAGAACTAGGGCGCCTGGGTGGCTCAGTTGGCTAAGCGACTGCCTTCAGCTCAGGTCATGATTCTGGAGTCCTAGGATCGAGTCCCACCCACATCGGGCTCCCTGCTGAGCAGGGAGTCTGCTTCTCCCTCTGAACTTCTTCCCTCTCATGCTCTCTATCTCTCATTCTCTCTCTCAAATAAATAAATAAAATCTTTTAAAAAAAAAAAAGAGCTCTGAGAACTAGAACTCATTGTTATCTTACACATGTGAGAGGCATCTGTGTAAAACCTGTCCATTTCAGGTCTTGAGTTTGACCCAGTAAAGAGACAAAAAGCACTTGGACCACTAAAAATTGTCTTGAGTTATAATCTTTAATTTACATAACTTGATATAGCTGTGGTTACACAAATGGTCCAGACGAGTTATCTAGTCTGGACCGTATTTTTCAGTTTTGACAACCTTTAGGATTATAGTTCTGGTACTGAGAGTTTAAACTTTTTCCAAAATTAAATATATGATAAAATGAATGGTTTTTATACCAGTATCCTTTGGAACCAAGATATGGGCTACTGCTATAGTGCCTAAGTGTGTACAATCCCAGGAAGATAAGGCAAATCTAATTTATGAAAAGGCACATATGTATTTCCTCTCCCTAGAGACGTGACCCTACTCTTTCTAACCTCAAATTCCCTTGATGAGTCAAAGGCCTGAATTTTTAGCTGCCAACCTCACGTGTCCATTTGAACAGTCCTAACAGTGTCACAAATTAAACTCACAATCTTCTGCCCCAACCAGCAACTCCTGGAAGAAGGCACCATGGTACACCAGAAGGATATGTGCTTGCTTGCTTGCTCTTTTAAAGATTTTATTTTTAAGTAAACTATATACCCAACGTGGAGCTCAAACTCACAACCCTGAGATTAAGAGTCACCTGTTCCACCAACTGAGCCAGCCAGGGGCTCCAGGATATGTGCTTTCAACCAGTTGGACCGACATACAAATCACAGCTCGGCTTACCAATTCCAAGCAACCATGACATTAAAGAATTAAGTTTAAAACAAAGGAGGTGGCATATTTGGTATGAAAACAAAATTGACTGGAATGACAGAGGACAGCTGACCAGTGGTTCACTCTAAGAAAGCAGAACAAGAGAAAATTCAAGAACCGTGATTTGAAAACAGAAAAGCTTTTGTGAGAATAAGAGTCAGTGTTAATAAAGGTTATTTCAGGAAAAGGAAGTAACTCTCTTGAAGTTCTTAATGGGACAAGGTAGATAATTTTCTGTAAGGCTTGGCTTTAGTCACATTGACTAAAGGATTCTGCCAACCTTTGACATGGTTGATTTGATAGTTTTGGCCTATTAGGAAGGTAGAAGGTTATTTTTCTTTTTGGTTGAGTGATTTACATAAACTTCTTTGAGTCAGATAGAGGTCACTTAGATAAACTGACGTGAATTTATTACTAGAGTTTTCAACATTTTATTTACTCAATAAAGATGATACCCCATGATCATATAGACTTAGAAGGGATGCTAAAGCCAGCAAGTTTCTTCCCTGAAGACAGCTTCACTTTGAAAACTGTTACATTAGATAATACACTCCCAAACTTGAAATCTTTTTTTTTTTTTATAAGATTTTATTTATTGGGCGCCTGGGTGGCTCAGTTGGTTAGGCGACTGCCTTCGGCTCAGGTCATGATCCTGGAGTCCCGGGATCGAGTCCCGCATCGGGCTCCCTGCTCAGCGGGGTGTCTGCTTCTCCCTCGGACCCTCCCCCCTCTCATGCTCTATCTCATTCTCTCTCTCAAATAAATAAAATCTTAAAAAAAAAAAAGATTTTATTTATTTATTTGACAGAGAGAGACACAGCAAGAGAGGGAACACAAGCAGAGGGAGTGGGAGAGGGAGAAGAAGGCTCTCCGCTGAGCAGGGAGCCCGATGCAGGGCTCGATCCCAGGACCCCGGGATCATGACCTGAGCTGAAGGCAGACGCTTAACGACTGAGCCACCCAGGCGCCCCCCAAACTTGGAATCTTTACATAGATGGTCCCACATGGGATACCCAAGAGCACCACAGAGGATAGGGGCATTCTTTAAAATCCTACCTGATGGCCAATAAAGGAAGCAAGATACTGATGAAGACTTTACCCAGGCCTTGCTAATAGGAAAAAAGAAAGATAATCCAGCAAACTTTCTAGAGAGAATGTATTTTAGGAACATGTATGCTATTTGAATGTAACTGAGGATTTTCCAGAGACCAAAGTGGTATCCTCAACCAGTTGTTAAATGAACACAATGAAGAAATAAGCCAAGATCAGTCAGACAGCATTAGCAGGTCAAATCAAGATTTCTATGAAAGACGAGTTCCAAGGAATGCTATTTCTTAAAAGTAAGTGGAAACATAAGGGCCAGCCAAAAATTAACTATTCAAGATAAGTTTAAGACCATTAGCGAACAACTTATTTGAAAAAGAAACTCTGATGGATAACATAAGGATTTAATTTGGGCAACTATTTGTAAGCAGTAAAAATACAGTAGAATCGGGCGCCTGGGTGGCTCAGATGGTTGAGCGTCTGCCTTCGGCTCGGGTCATGATCCCAGGGTCCTGTGATCGAGTCCCGCATCGGGCTCCCTGCTCCTTGGGAGCCTGCTTCTCCCTCTGCCTCTCTCTCTCTCTCTCTCTCTCTGTCTCTCATGAATAAATAAATAAAATCTTAAAAAAAAAACAGTTTAAAAAAAAAAATACAGTAGAATCCTAATGAGCTAAAAGCAATGGGGGACAAGGGTGGGGAAGGAGCTGAGATAGGCCTGAGCTGCAAGAGGCCTTTCCCTATCCAAAATGACAAAGAGGAAGGCAGGGGGAACCAGGAGCCAAAGACTTAGAAAGCACATATGAAGAAAAAAAGTTGAAGAATCATCTAATTCAGAAGCCAAGCCTGCAATACATGGACCCCACCAGACATGATGGAAGTTTCTGGCCAGAACCTGTGATGCACACATAGCCTGTGACTTGAAAATAACCAGAAACCTTGCATTTCCAGTATCCAATCTACCCTCATGCAAAAGGCACAGCCTGGCTACAGAGGAAGAGAGGAAGAAACAGAAAGACCATCTGCTGCCCATCCCTGGGCACAGCTACAGTTCCTGAGAATAGGAGGGCTTCCAGAAAAAAGGAGGTATGTGTGGTGCCAGAGGGGGTTCTCCGCAGCAAGTGACATGATGACAGGAGCTGCAGCTAGAGCAAGAGCCTGCAGTGGGGGAAAGCTGTTAACTCCTAAGACTGACGGCAGGAAACTGAAACTGAATTTTTTTCTTATCAAAACTTACACTGCTCACATTATTCTCTCAAAAGGAAATAACAATTTTTGAAAATACCAGGGTCCATCACTAGTTTAGCACTGAATGTTATTAGAAAGGCTCAAGACAGAAAACAGGCTTCTCACAGAAAGCAGTTTCTAATGGAAAGACGAACAGCATAAATCTTCTCCCTACCTGATAGCTTCTTCCACAGACTGGCCAATAATATTAGAAGAAGGACCTGGCTGAGATAGTGGTGTCAGGCTTATCACCCACTTCACTGGCTTGTAGTACTCATCACTGGAACTTAATAGATAAAATAGGGTGGTCAGGAAAATTATCTGCAAAACAAAGGATAGTATCTCCTAAAAAATCACATTTGGAAACTACAGGAAGGAAACATAAATGGAACCAAGAACGTGCTTTACTGTGGAAAGAGAGGCACCATGTACTTATCTACCTGTACATACCAGAGACAGCACAAAATTGAGAAGGGCAGTCCCACTGTAGAAAAGGATGGTCAGGAGTGTTGTGACAGTGGTGAAAAGCAGGCTCACGTTCCGGCTCATGACGATCCACAGAGACTCCAAGATCTGATGAAGAGGGAAAGCTGAACATCAGAACTAATCCTCCAGAAAGAAGTTTCTAAGCTCTGTGCTGTGCTTTTAGTACAAGTGTGAGTACCAGAAACTGAAAAGAACAGAGTATTGTTTTAAATGAAAAAAAAAAAAAATCCCCTGAAATCATACGAACATTGAATAGTAAGGAAAATGGTTAAGAAAATCATGGTGAACCTAACTCCAAATCATATTAGGTAGCCATTAAAGATAGCTCCACTATAACACAGAAAAACATTTTCTGATACACTGCAAAGTTGAAAAAGTAGGAAATAAAAACTTTATATACAGGATGATTATAACTATGTAAAAATGATATTTATAGAAAAAATACCTACAGGAGAATACGCCAGAACGCAACCTGTATAGGATCACAAGTGTAGATCATGAAAATTCTAGTATTTGTCTTATTAGACGCCTCCCCCCTTGCCACCTCCAACTTAGATTCACTTACAAACACAAAAGCATCACTTGGATGATTTCACTAAAATCATAATAAAAGAAATAGGTCAAGGGCAGAACTCTGCAGCTGAAAACCTTTCTTCAGATAGACAATGACCCTTATATCAAGACTTAAAATGTTTATTTAATCCATCACCTGCAAATTCACTAGAACCAGTTATTAAAATAGTTATTAATACCTCTTAAATATTACTAAAAGAAGATGTACATTATCTATGCCACACCTACATGTTTTCATTTCCTATCTCCCCATGAACTTAAATTCCCTCATGATAACATCTGTTCCCTGTGACAGAAGCAATGCAGATGACATGATCTTTATTGTAAAGATAGACCAACTGAAGTCAGAGATTTTTTAAAACCTGCCCAAGGGCCTTGGAGCTAAGAAATGGAACTAGAGCTGGGACCAGAAGTCTAATGTCTGATTTTATTTTGGTGTGCCCTTTCCAAAACAGCAGTTCTGTTTTTTGTCATATGTGCAAGTTATACCATCTGTTCTATGAAAGGCCTATCCATTCCTTTCCTATCTCAAATGTACCATTTATAAAGGCATATTTTGTTGTCCCTGGTGTTTCTTGCATACCTCAGCTCAGTCTTCATGGGAGAGCTTTTGCAGGCTGGTTTCATTTACAATAACTCCTTACAGAAAATCTTGAAAATGCTTCGCAATGCCTACAAAAATATGCATGACTGACCATTTGACCTTGTGGGATAAATGAATGAAAAACACCACTGATTCCAAGAAACAAATCAACAATGCCCTTACTTGTGATTTTTACATGCATTCCTTTGGGGGCTTCTGTCATTTTGGAATTTTTATCAAAAAAAATTTAAATAGTTTCTGGGTCACACTGGTAGGAAATACTCTGTTGTAATTCTTAAGAAATTAAGTGAATACGTTGTTGACTGTCAGTCTCCAACAACAATCAAGTAAACTTTCTGTGTAACCAAGGGGATTAGGAAGAAAGTTTTAGAATGTGAGAGCTTTTGGATATTACAAGTATGAAGGCAGGAATAAAAAATCTGAGGGGCGCCTGGATGGCTCAATTGGTTAAGTGTCTGCCTTTGGTTCAGGTCATGATCCCAGGGTCCTGGGATTGAGCCCCGCATCAGGCTCCCTGCTCGGCAGGGAGCCTGCTTCTCCCTCTCCCACTCCCCCTGCTTGTGTTCCCTCTCTCTCTCTCTGTCTCTATCAAATAAATAAATAAAATCTTAAAAAAAAAAAAAAATTTGATCAAGGGTTGACCTTGACACCTTAAGATTTTTTTCTGATGAGACAGGTAGTTATGTTAAAGAATGTGATTGTTTTACACTCTGTAAGAATATATGTTGATATTTAGACGATGTAAAAAATCAGTGAACCAATATTCCAAATGACCAGTGCATATCACAAAAATATGCAAGAGTAAAAGACCCATTTCTGGCCAAGACAGATCAATGGACTTTAATACAAGACAGTATAAAAAGTTTATTGATACAGTTTCAAATTCCACACTGCAACTAACCTGTAAGAAATACCATTTGTTGAGTTTTGGTGTAGGATCAAAGAAGAGCCACAATTATCTGAAAAGGCTATTAAAAGACTCCCCTCTTTTCCATCTACATATCCGTATGAGGCTGGATTTTCTTCTTATATCAGTCAAAACAAGGTATTCCAATTGACTGAATATAGAAGAATATATGAGAATCCAGACATTAAACAGATTTGCAAAAATATAAGATAAAGCCACTCTTCTCACTAAATAATTTTTTGTTTTGGGGACACCTAGGTGGCTCAGTCAGTTAAGCGGCTGCCTTCAGCTCAGGTCATGATCTCGAGGTCCTGGAATCGAGCCCTGCGTCGGGCTCCTTGCTCAGCGGGGAGCCTGCTTCTCCTTCTGCCTGCCACTCCCCCTGCTTGGGCTCTCTCTCTCTTTCTCACTCTCCGACAAATAAATAAAATCTTTAAAAAAAATTACATTTCGTTTTGGAAAAAGGCTACTTTGCAGATGCAAGAAATGTGTTATGTTAATATGCAATGTTATTTTTAGTGAATTGATAAATATTTTTAAAGTTCTCAGTTTTAACTGCTGATACAATAATAATCAATAGAACCCACAAAAACAAACGCTTTGGAATCTTCAGACCAAAAAGTTTCATGG